CCTTCACATATTTCCAAAGCCTTGTGGAACCGGAGGGCGACCTAGCTCCTATGGGGAGTTTGCCAGACTCGGCAAGAGGCACAGCCCTTTCTTCGGCGGATTACCTTCACGACCTTCTCCGCTGGAGCATCAATAGGTTCTCAAAGCTGGGTGATCTATACGCCCATATGTCAGAGTTCATGACCCAGATCCAGGAACATGAGGCCACCTCAAAGAAACAATTCAATGAGCTGACAGAGAAAGTCCACGAGCTCTCTGTGAGCATCACTGGATTGCAAAGTGCATCGAGGGTTGCATTGGACGATTCACGAGCCCAACAGAAGCAGACGCATCGGACTCTAGAGAACTTGCTGTGGCAGCTCGCAGGCAGCGGCAAAACGGTCAACCAGTCGATGAAGGACATCGTTCTGTCCATGGCCAAGCTGATCCAACAATCCGAGCAACACCTCTCGCGAGGCACCCGAGCGGCAGAGGCCTCATCAGAAGGCATTGATGGCCTTGAGGTTCATTTGAAAGCCATAGGGGGACACCTGCAGAAGCTGGTTGAATTGCAGTCCAAGAAGCCAGATGAGCCAAAGGCGGCTGGACCGAAAATGCCACCGCCACCTATGGCACCTACCAGTGGAAATGCTCCAGCTCCGGGTGTGTCAGGAGGGATGACTGCACCTCCAGGTGCAGTGCAGCCGAAACTGATGCCAGGGTCATTAAACCCACCAACTCCATCAGCTTTTCCGCCAAGTCCTGCGTTCCCAACACCGACATTTGGGGCTGGAATCTTTGGTACTCCTCAGACGCCCACAGCACCAGGAGCAACCAGCGCTCCGGCTGTTCCATCAGCACCGGGGTACAAGAGGGTGAGGCTGGCCGATGGCCAATGGAGCTGGGCTGAAATTGGCCAAGGCGATATCTGATTTGCCATGACTTTGAAATGGCTGATGTTTGACCTTGGAGGTCAGGATGCCGCGGCTTTCGGGGAAGTAAGTTCCTAGAGAGTCTGCACCAGGCCATTTTTTGTTGACAGCGGCCAGCCCACATCGGTGGAAAAAGGGATTGCTCAGAGGGTTTTGCCATTCGATTTGCAGTTGTTCAATTTGATCTTGTGAGACGCAGTTTTGAAGGGATTTGAAGTCTTGTCAACTTTGATGTTTGAGTAGGAGAAGATTCTTGTTAAGTTGATGTGAGACTACCTTGCTAGATTGCACAGGGTTTTATCCAACAGAAATGTCTGACTATGCCAGGTTGACCAGGGGGAACCGGCCTGGAGGTCAGTGGAAGCGTGCTCACGAGGGATCAAGGGTTGAGAACTGCGAGATTAAGAGATGTCATTTGTATTTGCAAGAAGGGGTCACGGCAAACAGTAGAAAAGGGTTTGTAGCTAGCAGGGGTTCTAGCTTCCTTTGATTGCTGTGAACTTTGGACCGTATGACATTTGATGTCGAGTCGATTGGTTGCAGTTGAAATGAAGAAAAAGGGTTTGAGAGTTTGAGACATGCAGTGGAAGTCGAACAGTAGCACAGGGATTGTATCTAGCAAGGGTTGGCTAGTTTCCTTTTTACTTACTGTTTGACGCTGTGTGAAGCTTTTGGCACGTTGAATGTGACAGGTTTTTGTCTTCAGGAATCTTCGTTTGCTTGACCTGTCAGGTGACCACTTGAGACCTTGTATGGTTTCAGGGTCCCAGTGATGACAGAAGCAGAGGCGAAGAGCTGGCTCCGTGCAGCTCTTTGAAGCCCTGCTGTCTGAGGGACCTTGAATCCTTGTTGCTTTGCTTGCTTGGTTGAAGCATGGTTGATTGGTTGATCTTGGTTTGAACTTGCTTGAAGCTCGATGTTCTCGATTCGTTGACGTTCGATCGACTTGGAGACCATTTTGAACCACAGGAGTTGAGATCTTAGTTGATGCTCGAACCTTAGTTGCTCAGAGAAAACGAATCGAAGAGAAGAAGAAGACAAGAAGACCAGGAGAAGGTACGAGGTGACCCAAGAAGGGGTGTGAAAAGTGTGGGTAGCACGCCTGTACAGTGTGTGGATCACCTAGTACCTCTGTGTAGTGGAACTTTTTCGTTCTCTGTCCTTGGGGTTGGAGCTGAGTAGGGATCTTCCTCCTTGGAGTGTGTTTGCTTTGACCACCTTAGCAGGACTAAGTGGAATGAATGTGACCAGAAGTGGCTAGGAGCATGTCTAGAGAAGCCCTAAGTATAGAGCTGTAGTGCTTGAGATGAGCTGTGTATAGCCTAGCTTTGCTTGAGAGTGTTTGGAGATGCTTTCTTGTACTTTTAGTATGTTTTGGACGACTGTGACCAGTCAGACCTCTTCAGAGAAGAGAAGGACGAACAGACATACAGTCAAACCGACTGTTATGTTTGGCTCAAGAGCGGGATTCGCAAAAGGGTCGCACACGCTTCCGTGTTTTCACAGGATTGGCATACAACCTGCACAGCAACTCCTTCTTGACTCGAACTGGGTGACTTGTGCAGAACCTGCACACACAGCGCCGACTCGTGCAAAAAAAAATGGCTGTTTGTGAGCCGACCTGCTGTGAGCCAGCTCTTGGCCGGAAGTTGGCGCGTGGCAGTGGGTCTGTGGACGACTGGCACCCATGTAACTTCACACACAGCGCCTCCACTCGCAAAAAAATGTGGACGATTGGCACCCAGGTGAGAAGGTTTCACCTGTTTCACCAGAGCTATGCATGCCAGAGAATGTCTGCAGCCATGTGGTGGTTGTGCCTTTGAAATGCTGTTTTCCGCGCGGCCTACCAAGCATTGCAACGTGATGATTTCTGCGGATCAGCAACCTTCGCGCTGCGCACATGCTGCCTTGATCTTGAACAAGGTTGATGTGCTTGCAACCTGACCTTGAAGGACAATAGCACAAGTCCTGAAACAGCAAACTCCTTTGTGGCGAATTCGGGCCCACACAGTCTGTTAGTCACTCTTTTGTCACTTAGCACAGGCGAAACTCTGCCACATTGGTTTTGGTGGGTTGGTTTGTGTTTTGTTGCTTTCCCCCACCAACCACATGGCGTCCGTACTCGTGAAAAAAATACGGCAAGCAGGAACTCCCTCTGGATGACATGTATGTTTGCTTTCCCGTGCAGATTGTCCAGCTTCAGTTTTCTTCTTTTCAAATGATGAAATGGCACGTTCGACTTGAATCTGAAATTTGCCGCAGGCCAATCACAAAAAGTCTCGTGTTTTGTTGACTTTCACCAACTGCGCACGCCAACTTGTGATGAAGAGACGAGTGAAAAGTGAGAGGGACTTCCACAACAAAAAAATCACTGCTGAAACCAACGATGTTGATTGGGATGATCACGGCTATGATCCAAAATTTTTCCTTGTCATTGGATTCCTTCATCTCTGAATCGACAGTGGATGTTGCCTTTCTCTTTCGAGAATGCCTTTGTAGCCGTCCTCAAATGCAACCTGGCACTCCCAAAACAAAATAAGTTTCGGCAAGCGTTTGGTTTCTTTGTCCGGACTTGGTCGCTTCGTTGTGATCTCTGAATGTTGCTCTCTGAAAGTGCTTGCACTACGTCCGCAACAAATCTTCCATACAAACATTCAGAGAAGCGCCGTGAACAAGCGATGGCAATTATCTGCCCACTAGACCTCAACATGACAGAAAAAAACAAAGATTGTGAAGACGATGGACATCAGACAGACAAACCTACTCAGAGATTAGAAGGAGGAACTTGGAACCTTGCAAGTGAAGGACATAGAGTGATGTTGGAGGCAGCAAATGAGGGATCATTGAACAGAACATTCAAACCAGGAAATAGAGAAATGACAATCTGATCAAAGTATGTAGAATGCAGGCAAGACAGATGTGTGGGAGATTCCAGAGGAAAATTGAGCAACTGAGTGCAAGACATTGGAATCTATTAGGATGAAGACAACAAGACTTAGCAGATGTAGTTGACAAACAAATTAGCAGCTGCTTCAAACAGCAGAGTACAGAAGGGACAGCCCAGATGTTGATCCAGCAGAAGTACGTTTTAGGAACCCCGTTCCTGAAAGAGGTGAATAAGCCTGCAAAGATAAGAGTTGAATGGACGGAAATGGACTGCAATGGTGGGGTGAGCTCAAAGACGCAAATTGGGTCGCCCACACTACCAAAAAAGAGTGTGTAGCATTGTCCTTGTGAGTCAAAGTCACTATGTACAGCATCACATGCATCACTGAGGCCTACCCGCAGCCGTTTTTCGATTCAGAAAAGATTCGCAATTTTGAGTGTTGCAAAGTGGGCTGGCATGTTTTGAGGAAATTGTTTCCCGTTCTTAGCATGTTAGTTTTTGAAAAATCAACCAATCAATCAATGATGTAAAGGATCGGCCTTCTGCATTCCGAGAACACTTCATTGATCCCATGTCTTGTTCAAACAATAGCACCGATGAAGCGCGTGCAGGTCAGACCCGTAAATTTGCAGGTAAAAATAACCGATTGAAACTTGCTGTTTGCCATGTTCTTGCCGTACGCTGCCGTTTTGCTCAAAGCAGTGGAAAAGTAACATGGACAGTTGATGCATTGCGCTTTGATGCTCATGGAGCGAGGGTGTGAAAACGAATATGACGATGATTTCGTACCCAACAGGCGTAACATGAAGGACGGCACTTCAGTTTTCAAAAATAACAGCAATACTTCAGCAGGATGCTGGAACTGATTTTGGACTTTGCCCTCATGATAAATCGAACATGGTGAGCAGTGCCGAGTGTCAGGCGGCTAAGGTGCGACGTTTGGTTTGATTTGCGGTTTTGTTTGGTCGGACAAACGCAACCTTGGCCATGCCACCCGCCACTTTTTTTGCAATCATTTGCGATCATCACAGCAATTAGCTAGTGACACATTTTTTTTTTGCCAATTTCGGATGCACGATTTTTCATGGGTGCCAACCGCCAATGTCCATTTGCCAGAGAATTTTGCATTATGATGCCAATGCAATACTTTCATTTCAGTAAAGGTCCAAAAAAGACAGCAGGAACAAGGAAACAGTGATGATCATTTGTCGAGTGCTGAAGCGTTCTTCCGATTGAGACGCATCGCCGTTCATCCAAGTCCATCACTGTCCGGCAATGGAAGTTGCTGATGGTCCTGGGTGCACGGCCAAAGTCGCTTTGCATCTGACTGGCAGTGTTTTTTTGTGATCAAACTTACGGTTTTTCTCATTGCAACAGGCATTCTCCAAGCACTTGGTCAAGCGCACGCGTCCAGGAGATTCACGGATGTGACCAGCGTGCCCCACTGATTGAATTTCACCATGCTTCCTTTCAACGCCCTTTGCGCTTGGAGCAGAGAGGTGGGAGCAGAGAGGTGGTTGCATCAACCTCCCTGAGACACCCATGCTCCTCGTGGGCACCAATTTTCACAAATGTAGACCGTAGACTCCGTAGACCAGTCTACCCAAGCTGTGAAGGTGAAGGACACGTAGACCTGCAACTATGAAGCAAGTAGGAGAAACGAGAATCAGTTGCTTGTTTTTGTTTGTTTGTTTTTAAATCAATGTATATATACAATACATACATACATATATATACACACACATGGGTTTCACCTTTTGTGTCTACGGTCTTTGATTGAGTGCTTGGGACTTGAGCGAAGATGCAGGTTGAAGGGACACAATATAAAAGATGTCTCTAGCTCCGACTGCGCTGCGTGCTTTGCTGAGTGGCAAAGAGCTTGGCAGCAAGCACTATCTAAGAGGGTTCTTGTGCACAACAGGGCTCATTTGGTTGTCCTAGATTTGTTCGCTTCGTCCTGGGAAGGGACGTGACTCTTGTGGCATTTCCCAAGTGATTGTTCCTCGCTTCCTAAGTATAGTACTATTCCATTTGCTCACTTGAAGTTGATTCAATTCATCTCCCACGCCACTCTCTCAGCAAAATAAGGGCATTTTGTGGGAGGCGCTCGTTCTTTTTTCCAGCCGTCCGCAAGCCGTGATCCCTAACACCAAGGGAGACATCAGTGAAGGCCAGTCAGGACATTCCATCGACATGCCTCCACAACACCAACGACTGCATCCACCAAGAAGAAGGCGAACAAGAAGAAAGTAAGTGCAAGAGCAGAAGCAAGAAGAACAACAAGAACAACAAGCCCCAAGGGAACATGCGTGACACAAATGCTTGGTTAAGAAACTCTTCTTATTAGCATGCAGCATTAGGCGCAGGAGGCAAAAAGTCAGTTGGAAGCGCTAAGGGCTACATGAAAGCACGCCTCACGCATCCTCACGCTATTTAAAGGATCGCTGTTCACTCGCGTGAAGAAACTCCCTCCAAACGTGTGGTCAAGGCTCTTCTTGGCACCACGTCCTCTCTCCTCTCCTCGCTCGTGCGGTGTTTCGCGCCGTCCTAAGAGGTGCCACGTCGGAGAGCTTCGTGCAGGGCACTTCGTCGGTGCTGTGGCCTGCGGCCACGAAGCTGGCGACCTACCTTTGCGATGGCGACGACGGAAGACCTGGGGCGCCGGGTGGAAGGCCTTGGGCAGCGCTTTCGGTGCTCGAAGTGGGTGCTGGCTTGGGCTTGGTGGGAGCCTTGGTGGCACGAAAACATGGTGTTTGCTATGCCTCGAACCTGTTGATTTCGCGAATTGCAAACAGTTGCACAACGTCGTGGGCGTTTTGGACGGTTCTCAGGTGCAGCCTGCGCGGCCTTGGGTGCAAAAGTGGTGCTCACGGACTGTGGTGTGGCCGTGCCCTTGCTGAAGCGAAACCAGGAGACAAATTCGACAAGTGCTCAGTTTGATTGATGTGGTGACGTCCCAGATGATGAAACTAATTTTTGTAAACTTTAATCTACCTAGACTTTATACAGTTCTTCTTCGTTCGAGACTCAGAAGCATTTGTTTCCTCATCCAGGAACTCTTGGCAGCGGACTCTGTGAACGTAGAGGTTTGTCAACTGGACTGGGGCTCCAAATCGGACGAAAGTGCCATACTCAAAGAGCATGGGCAGTTCGAGCTCATCGTTGGCAGTGACATCATCCTCTCCTCCTTCGAAATTTGACTCCTTTTGAGCACATTTCTCAATTCTTGTCCTTGCCACGGTCTTTATTTTTGAATCAATGTTTTTTTTTTTCTATTTTTGGGTTGTGAGGACTTGGATAAACTGTTCAGCAGCTGCTACGCCTTGCTAGCGCGATCTCCGGAGGCCAGGCTTGTGCTTGCGTTTGAGTTCCGAGAAGATTGGGAAGGAATCAGCAATTTCATTGGATGGGCAGAAGAGGCACAGATGGAAGTGCAACATCAGGAGCTGGGGGATCCCGATGATGAGATTTATCTCTACATCTTCCGATGGATCCTTTAAGCACAATCCGAGGAATGCAGTCGCACAGAGGCATTCTCACTTGGAGTCGCTCAGTTCTTCCCAACTGGCCCAATTGGACAAATTCAGGACATGTCGAGGACGCGTGACGGGGCCAGGTTGCCCTACAAGTTGTGGACCACTCCAAGCTTTCAAGGCTAGATTGACAAATGGTCTTGCTATATCTCACATGGGAGATGGAACCTCCATGGAATGCTGCAGCTATGGACATTAACGTGCTCTGGCTAGCTTGGCACGGTGCACTCGCAGTGCGAAAGCAAGTCCAAAGATTCGGTGAACTCGCTTGGTGCCAAAACAGCTTGGGCGAGCCACAATGGGTCCTGCGGGTTCACGTGGAATTTCCTAATTCTTCGCAGTTCATGTCAGTTTTGAAGAAGACGTTCCCTGGAGTCTATTCGCTAGCGAATTCATCCCGTCTTGGTTCATGTGATCGGGTCTCATTGGCTTGTTAGTTTGATTTGCAGGTTGGATATAGAGACAATTTGGCAGACAAATCCACCAACATGCTACCGTATATTGGTCAAAAAGACTCAGGGCTGGACATTGATGGGTGGGCGGACAAGTTCTGTTGATCCCTGCATCTTCTCAATCCTTCATACACATATATATATAGGCTTTACATAGTAAGACGATTCCCAACTGATTGAGGGGACCAGTCAAGGCGATTCTTTGTGTTGTCACACCTTTGACAGGGTGGGCATCATGGTGTGCCAAGCTCAGACATGAAAACCTTGCTTGCAGACTTGGCTATTTAAGGAGTATGGCCAAGTTCTAAATTCATCGTTTTGCCAACTGCCAACTGCAAACTGTCTGATGAGTAGTGAGACAAAGAGTCCTAATTGAAGTTAAGACAGAGGGCCTGGGGCTCCTGCTCAATACATTTGTTTTCAAGTACTGCCTTTTGAATGTGTAGTGTCAACATTCGAAGCCCTAAGTTAAAGTTTTGGTGCTCTCGGATTTGTTGTCTCTTGTTGAATCAGTTCAAGACACATGATCCACCCGCTTGTTCAGGTCAAGCAGGTGGTGCTTGAAAACTTCAAATCATATGAAGGGTGCCGACCTGGGTGTCGATCTTCGTCGGACTTCGTCGGACCAGGTGTGCAAGGGATGTTTCATGCTAGCTAGCAAATGAAGACAACCCATGTGCAAGGGATCCTTTTCGATTGGTACAAGTGATATTTGGGACTTTGCATCTCTCTCTCTCTCTATGATATACATAAACTACCCGCCGGGCTCGTTTCCGCGCATGCGGTTGAACACATTCTTCAAAGGCTGAGGTGCTCAATGATGACGAATGTCCGGTGTGTGACTGTGTTTTGCATTGATAGGAAAGGTTTGTCGCAGCATTCAGTACATGAAAACAACTAAAAAATCGTAGCGATTTTGACATCGAAATGCTACGAGACTGTGGTTTCGTGCGAAAAGAACGCGCGCTTTTTCATCCTCCAGCATCATCATCAGATCAAAGTCTGTTGGACAACTTCTGACCCAGCTTCGTCAGAAGATCGTCTTTATTCTGGTGCCAGCGCCATTGCCACTGTCGAATGAACTTCATGATGTTTGGGTTTATATCGTCACCGTCACGTGAACGCAAGCTAGTGGGGACCGACTCCTTACACAAACGCCACATACCATCAATGGCACCGGTGTGGATGAGCAGCTCTCCTGACCGCAACCTTTTCTTTACACAAAACACTCCTTTGGAGTGATTGCAAGATTCGTGGCGCAGACCATAGTCTGAACGATCGGCATAGCTACGGTCGCGTCCGAGGTAGACGATAAATGTGGAACGAACACACCACAAAGCTAGACTACAACGGTTCAGTCAGGGAGACCCGGCTTTATCTTCGTATGCACTATGATGCACTGAACATGCAACGTGTTTAGCCCCCCACCCAACCGCTTCCTAATACAAATGCGCACAACATGAACATCACTAGCCCCCCACCCAAACCCCCCGAACCCCCCCTGCCCCCATCTTCCATATTCCAATTCGTGTGTTTGTGTGTGTTCTTGCTCCCCAAAAGGACTGTATGAAAAATCAGCTTCACTACACGCGCGGTTTTAAGCCCATTAGCATAAACTAGATATTATATATAACATGTCAGTGAGAATGAACACCATGAGTCGAAGCTTTACGATCTGAAGTCCACTGGCCTTGCTTATCCCAGTACTTCCAATTTCATCACTTGCGTTTTGCGCTTCTACTAGCAAGAACTTGTTACTAGTAGCTTCTTGTTAGGGGTAGTAATGCCCTTGTTACTTGTAGCGATGCACTTGTCACTAGTTGCAACTCAGCTAACCAACTACAGCATGTTGGATGCCCGGTGCATTCGAAGCCTCGGTCCAGGCAAGTCTCTGTGGGTCCCTTCAAGAAGTTCACCTGTGTGGTGGGTCTGGAGGCTCAGGGCGAAAGAACTCTGAGGACAATTACCCGCTCTGGACGCACTGCAAGCTCCAGGTGAGTGTTCTTTATTTCTTGGACTTGGGAAGGGCAGTCATCACAAGTTTGTTGTTTGCGTTTCGCATAAGCTAGACGCCTGCGCAGCTCACGGTGCACCCTCAAAGGTAGGCCAGACTTGATGTACCCTTTTACAGTTGATGGCCCAAATCAAGCTCAACAACCTTCCGGGGTGCGGATCTCACACCCGAGCCAGCCACCAAAAAAACGGGGCCTGACCGTCCCTGACATGTCCTGATGCCCGACGCTTCCGGCTGCCGTTGGCTGCCCAGGCCCCAATGGCGCCGGGAAGTCCAACTTGATGGACGCCGTGAGCTTCGTGCTGGGCGTCCGGACACGGCACCTGCGCAGTGACCGGCTCCAGGAGCCGGACGAAGCGGTGAGTCAAAGAGGTCGTCGTGATGTGGGGTAAGGTGGTTGGCTTGGTGAAGGAAAAGGAATTTTGGAATCACATCCTCCAGATGCCTTGGTTCAAGAAAGCTCTTGTGCTCAGCGGCAAGGAGCTGGTCCATCGCAAGGAGCAAGAACCCCTCAGTGCTGTGGCCGGACGCCGATGTTCAGTTGAGCTTGCTTGGGCCTTGAGCAAAACGTCAGCTGCTGCTTCAGTCCAGCATGTTTTCTTCTTATATGGTTTGTTTTCTGCTGCTTCATGTCAACGTTTTAGATCTACTGTAATAATTTATGAAGATAGCCAACCTGCAATGACAGATGCCTTGCCACGGAAAACGATTTCGTTGAAATGTCTAGGTCTATGTTGATGAGTCCGGAGGCGGCTGTCAGGGCTGCAATAAAAGCGGCCAACTTGTATTCGGGCGCCTACTGATGGTTGAAGCAGTCCTAAAGCCAACAAGTTCATACAGAATCTGAATGTTAGTTGCTGTATTGCTGTAATTGTGCATTTCTTCTCTGATTCATGCATGCTAGGCGGCGAGACAAATGCCCTTTGTTAGTGTCAAATGGTCAATGACAAGCGGTCAAACATACAAAGGCAATCTTTCGTTGGCCCTGTTTTGGCAGACCAGCCTAAAGAGAAAACCTTCCGAAGGGCTGGGAGCCTCAGCATGCTGGTGCAGATCGGTTTTCAGGGTCTCAATACTTGTTCATACCCGCTGAGCGAAAAGAGCAAAAACACCCGGCTCACCGATTGGAACCTTCGCTTCGCCAAGCAGAGTTGGAGCATGTCCAGTGACACCCCTCGGAGAATGAGTCGGAGTATCTGCCGCCCCACGTGGAGTTTCTCGCTCTTTGGAGCAAGTCTATGTATACATACATACATACATACATACATACATACATACATATATATATATATATGACCAACCTGCTTCATGACGAGCCGCGAGAGCGGCCGCGAGCTTCAGGTCATCCAGCCGGCTGCTGAGGTCTGTGTTTTCGGGTCGTCGGGAGGTGTTCAGCTCATGATGTTTCCAAACTAAACTGTGAAGGATTGGAGAGTGCACAAACTAAAGACATGCTAAGTAAGAAAGATTGACCCTGTTCAACCCTGTTTCAAGTTTGATTGGAGAGTGCATGACCGGGGTCACTGCTCTTCGTTGAAAAGCGAGGAAGAATCAACAGCTGATCCTCATCGCTGTTTCCAACATGCTGTTTCTCTTTAATCAGTTGGATTCGTTCCTTTTTTGTTTCCAAACTTGCTTGTGCCACTCGCGCTGCTCATTGAAAAGTCGTGATTCGGAGGCACGCTTCCAGATCAACGGAGAGGCAGTCTCACAGGAGTTCTACCTGAGTAGCCTGGAGGACCGCAAGAGTCTGGTTCTTTTGTCTGAAGCTCGACCATGAGAAGAATCCCAGCCCCGCCCGGTTAAGACCGGAAGTGCTTGGAAGTTTCTGCAGATGAAACGAAGCATTGCTCAAAAACTTTAAAGCTTGCCTGTCGCCAGCTGTCCATTTGTGAGCCGGAGGTTGTGTGTTAAAGCTTGGGCAGCCATATGGATGCCAAGAATTTGACAAAGCCCACCTACCAAACAAGCGCATCAGCGCGTCCGAAGCCGAACTGGACGGCCCAGGAGATCAACATCCTGTCAAAGGCCAGGAACTTCTTAGTCTTCCAAGGTGTCGGGGCCTTGGAGCCTGAACTCCCTGGCCGTTGAGATGCGGAACATCCTTTTTATTTGCTCCGAGGACGTGGAGGCCGCGGCCCAGCGCCAGGGCAAAGAACTCACTGGCTTCCTAGAGCAGGTGGGGTGACCAAAATGAGCGGGACGGGTGACTTCTGGAGGATATTCACCAACTGAACCAAACGTCATCCAGTCGTCCGGATCGCAGGTCTCTGGCTCCATCGCCATGCGAGCCGAGTACGAGAAGCTGGCTTCCGAGAAGGCAGGGCCGAAACGCCCTGAAGCCGTCCGTGCAATGCCAAGGACTCTAAAGAGGACATTTGTCCTTCTAGAATCTAGAACAACATTCACTCAATTTGCAACCACCCATGCTCTCAGTGAGGCCTTTTAAAGGTTTTGTTTGTTTGTTGGATGGAACTTCCAAAGATATATGACGCCATGAAAGCCAAGGCCAGTAAAGAGGATGTGGCTCGTGATCTCTACACCAGGACAACCGCGCTTGTTGGCTATGTGATTCTTTTGTTGAAAATGACGATTTGACCAACGCGATGGTGACGTAGTTTGAAGGGCCTTTCTTTGCTGTGACATACAAGCAGAACAGAAAGGATCTTAAGTCTTACACACAGCTCACCATTTGAGGTTCGGTTTGCGGGTGCATATTGCACCCATCGCTGAAAGCGAGGAAGAGAAATGCCCAAAATGAGAAGAAGAGGATGTCGCAACAGAAGGAAGAGG